CCAGGGGAGGATTAACCCTGGAACTGGGAGAGAAATTTGCATGTGGGAAAGCCTTTCCCTTATCAGTGTGGTGAGATGGTTCAGGTACCTTGGGCATTCTGGGAACTCTATGGGGACACCACTTCTCTTGAACTCACTCACTATGTGTATCATGGATAGGGTATCCCGTCTGTGATGAGACACATTGGAATATGATCAAAGGACAGCCTCACCTTTCTGAACATAATAAGAAATGCTGGGCTAGTTGAGTAGGGGTCACTTTTAAATTCTCATGCATCTTTGAATCTGCATTTAGATTCAAATGGGATTGCCATTTATTCAGACAGTTCATGTAATCCAACACAGATAGATGTGTATCATTACCGTTTTTTTTTTATTTTAAACTATTTTATTTATTTATTTTTGGAGATGGTAAAGGGGCATAAAAAAAGGGAGAGGCACATCAATTAGTGGTTGTCTTTGGAGCGCCCCCCACTGGGGTCCTGGCTCACAACCCAGACATACACCCTGATGGGAATCAGACCAGCGACCCTCTGCCTTTGGTTCACAGTCCAGCACTCAATCCACTGAGACACACCAGCCAGTGGCCCAACATTGTATAATATGAATTTAAAATATAAATAAAGTCTACTTTGGTGTGAAAAAATTAAAAAGGAAAACAAGCAATTTTCAATATTGTATTTTCTTTATCTTTGAAACAATTTTTATCTGAGACATTTCAACTCAATCAAAGGCAAGTGAGACTAAAGAGTTTTTATTACTTTTAGAAGATTTTGATTGTGTCCACACCTCCTTTTGCAATATTTTTCCTTTTTCACACCCATGGCATATTACAGAGACCCTAAACTAAAGACATGGCAAACGATCTCATTTTTACATGAAGACGGGATTAGAAATAAAAATAATAATTATTTGTGGGAACCATAGAAACTTTTTTTGTGTTGAAAAGTTCATAGTAGTGGCTTAACTGATCTGTTTTCTATGTCTAGAGTTCTCAGTGATGTTGACGTGCAGAGGCAGGTTAATGAGAATTTTTGCAATGATTTACTCACAAAAAAGGGACCTTCAATGCTGCTATAAAACCCTCTCTCCCAGGCTCCCTGAGTCCTTTTTCTGGGGATGGTCACTATGGTCAGAGGGTGCTGGGCTCTCCCCTAGAGCACATATGTTCTCAATGTGTAGTAAACACTTTCTTCCATCAGACTTAGGATTTGGAAATACATTGTTCATGTTTGTCTTTTATTCCTTCAGTGGACTATTTCATGGGAGTAATGGACTTAATTTTAGTAATAATAATTTTAAATATTTTTTAATAAGCCCTGTCTTGGTTGATTGAAAAGAAAACAAACTTTTAAAAATGTTTATTAGCATTTTCAGTTAATTTCTGAATCCCAAATTCTAATATATTCAAAATTAACAAGAGTTCCCTGGCTGGCGTAGCTCAGTGGATTGAGCACGGGCTGCGAACCAAAGTGTCGTAGGTTCAACTCCCAGTCAGGGCACATGCCTGGGTTGCAGGCCATGACCCCCAGCAACCGCACATTGATGTTTCTCTCTTTCTCTATCTCTTCCTCCCTCCCTTCCCTCTCTAAAAATAAATAAATAAAATCTTTTAAAAATTAACAAAAGTTTATATTATCAATTAAATACAATTAAGGTTTACTTGATCATGAAAATTTAAAAAAGCAGAGTCATTTTCAATATCATATTTTATATATATATATGTCACCTGGATCTGAGAAACTTCCTCCAAAGCACAGACAACCTGAACGTTCTTGGTTCTAAATGCTGAAAGTTGTTTTGAGTGTGATTACATGTCCCTGTGCAGATACCTTCCTTATGAGAGAGAACCTAGGGCACATTTCATACTTGAGACTAATTACATCAGTAATAATCACGTCTTTACATGCAGAAAGAATTAAAATGGAGAACAATGATTATGTATGTGCAGAATTCAGAATTCTTCATATGTGGAAGTGATTATGGAAGTGGATTAACTGACCAGTTTTCTCAGTCTAGTATTTGTTAGGGTGACCAATACACAGTCTGTGAAAGAATTTTGAAAGAGACTAAAATGGAGAGTTAGGTTTTATTCACTTTCCAAGGGAGGAAATTGGCTTAAGTGTGTAGACTTACATCAGCAGCACAATGTAGGGGCTTGACGTTTTACTGGATTAAAAAAATGGGGTGTATGTGTTACAGTTGTATGGCCCCTGGAATGCTGGTGGTGTTGCAATACAGGGGGTTCCAGTTGGTTTTGCATAAACTGCAGTTTTATCCAATCTTATATTTTCCCTGCAGCTGTGGGCCAGTTAGGCACCTTCTGATCTTGCTTTTCCAGTAGTTCCTGGTTCTAGGGACATAAGCTCAGAAGAGTAAACTAATAGTCAGGCTTAACAATATCATGAGCCTACTCAGCAAATGGTTCCACAATAGTGAATGGTGCCAGCTTTGTCTTTTCTGTGAATTGGGGGTTCAGAAGAAGGAAAATGAGGAGAATTTCCTAGCATAGACTTGCTCACAGAAGAGAGAACTTCAACCCTGACAGGAAATCCTCACTCCCAGTCTCTCTTGTCCTGGCTTCTGGGGATTGGCAGTGAGGTCAAAGGACTCTGGTGTCTCCCACATGTCATATAATGTTCTTACTGCATAAAAAGGCATTTTATTAAATAATCAATGCATAACTCTTCAATCAGAATTATAATGCAGAATTACATGCTTCATTTCCCATTTTTTATTGGCTAAATAAATCTTTGTTTGGATCAAATCTATTTAATGTAAAGGTATGTAAGTTATCAATATTTTATCTGACTATTGTGTGGTTTAAAAAAAAAACTCCCCTGTAATATGTGAGCTTCCGTTGTCCATGTTTGATGATGTGGCAGCCATAGGGACTAGAACAGACTCTCAAAGCTGCTGGAAAAATTACCCACAACCTGAAGTGGACTTCGGAAACAGGTAAGGAGAGGATGCTAGACTTTCTTTTAGTCGCATAGAGGAATATGCCCCATTTTCATGAATTGAGTTACTAGACATATGCGTGTAAAGACTTTCTATGTGAAGCCCTAGAAGAAAGTATAAAGCATGGTAGAGACAGATTATGTCATCTTAGACAATACCTAAATAATTAGAAACACAAGTTGGTTAGAAAGAGCAAGTTTGAAATTCTACAGGTACAGATCAACAGAAATAAGGAATATGTCATTGCACACGAGTGGAGAGGGGATTCCTTGAAACACACATACACATTTTCACAGTGTGGCTATTAAGTAAGGTAACAGTGTCACAGATTCCAGGTAATCAGACGTGGACACTTTTGGTATTTTTACAGATCTGGTTACAGCATGGATCACACAAGGTGCAGAATTCACTGGGGCTCCATTTATGAAAATTCTCACCACTTACAGGGAGGAGAGAACAATCCTGCCTGGAGGAGCCATGGTGATGGTGTGTCCATATGAAGAGTTATAGTTTCATAGGACCAACACCCCTGTCTCAGATCATCATTATCGTCATTATCTTTTTCACTTCTATCATCGTTTGCTTACTTATAATCATGCATTTCATTTTCTGTGCACATGGTGGTTGTCCACACATAGTAACTCCTTATTTCACATCTGTTCCTTGTTTGCAGGTGTTAGGAGGAATAGGTACAGACCTCTATTTCATTTTGTGTTTCACTGCTGACAACTGATGGCTCATTCCTGCCTCTTCTCTATCTGCCCCACACAGGGAATCCCATAAGAAAGTGTGTTCTCTCCTTAGATGCCAATGGGAGATGGAAACCACACATGCTATTCTAAGCAGAAGTCCTCTCTCCCACTACATCAAAAAAAAATTAAGTTCTGAGCCAGTTTACTCCCATTATTCTCTCAAAGCTTGTCTGACTTGCAGAAGGGGTTACCATTCCCCTACTTTGTTCACCACTTGCCCACTACTGTTTCATGTTAACCCTTGTGCGGGCTCCAATGGGAAAACTTGTCCACATTCTATGAAACCATTGGTCCTGGTTTCCAAAGAAGCTTCCCACAATATGTTTATTTTCATTTGCATTTATAAATGATGGATGCTCTCATCATGACTGTGAGGCATCCAAAAGTCCCATGAGCTGGGGTTGCAGGCAGCAGGCATAGAAGAGCTGCTTTCACAACTAAGCCTGGTCTGAATGCTGAGGACCAGGGTGACCAGGGCAGGAGAAGACTTCTGCCCCACATGCAGATTCCAGGGCAGAGGTGGGAAGGGTTTAATATTTTCTTTCACTGTTTGTTCCAGTAAGTCCCTCAGGGAAGTGGAGGGTGCCCACCTATATTGGTGAAATCAGTCTTTCTGAGACACCAGTTCACAGGCTTGGATCACCTGTAAATAAAGTATGTACAAACCAAGAAATAACTTTCAACCAAATCTTTGGACAACTTGTGATCCAGTCAAACTAAGATGAAAACCAACTGTCACAACAAATTTAGGGGAAGACTTCCAAGTTCAAGATCACATGTGTCTGCCTGGTCTATTTAGATAGAGGAGAAGCATCCACTTTAGATTCATGGTGGTGATTGCTTTCCTAGGTATCTATATGTTCAATGTAAGATAGAGAGGAAAGTTTTTGGCCAGGGATGAAACCAAGCCTTCATTAACTTCCAAGTTTCCTGTGCCTGCAGAACCCATGGGTCCTGGGCACCTCATGTTGTTTGTAGCCCCTCCTGCCAAAGGATTGTGTCTGGGCTTATACAGGATTCTCTTCTCTGTGTCTCCCATGCTGTGATACAGGTTAGTGCTCTTGCTCTCACTTGCACATAAGTGGTGCTTTTGGAATACTCTCTTGTAATGGTGATATGGTTTTTCACTGATGTAGTATATTGTGTAGTGTGATGGTAAGTCTTTTTCTAATAACACCTACCCACTTCAGTCTCTTTCCTGGATGCTGGCCAATGTGTGTTATATAATAGTCACTGAAACTGAATCCAGAGCATTTACCACAGAATCTCAGAGAACCCCCGGCTGCCTCAGGTGTCCCCCAGCTCCAACTCATACTGTGCATCTGCAGACAGGATATTGTCATTAGGAGTGGCTTACACACATGGAAACTTATATCCCCAGATTCTTTGTAATGTTATATGTAAAAGCATCAGAGTAAGTGCTCATCTCAGCCCAAAGTTCATGATGGCTCCTCTGTGTTAATTGCAACAATGAATGCAAACTACAGAGACCTGGGGCCTGGGGCTGCTGTCTCAGAGATGCAGTGAAAGTGATGAGGGTTGGCTTATCAGCACATGGAGTACCCCACTTGCACGTGATGCTCCCCTTATGGGCAGAGAAGTGAAGTTCATGGGTGAGGGCCCCCACTGAACTCAGAGGGACAAACACCCTCATTGTGATAGTGGGAATTTTATAAGAGGCTGGTTAGTCTGTGTGATGTAAAGTTATTATTGTTGTTACTAATTTCTACCATCTTTCATTTTAACACACATTAATTTACAACAATGTGGTACCCGCACCATGTTTCATGTTTTTCTGCTTAGGATAAATGCCTTGCATGCTCTTGCCCATGTGTTGACACACAGAGAGGTTCGTCCCCATCGTCAGCATCCTGGGTCTGAGGTCACTGGTCACTGTAAGGACTGCTCTGGGAATTTCAAGAAAGAATCCCTGCCCATTATATCCCTGTGCACTGAGCCCAGCAGCCTCAAGAAAGAGAGTGGGAAGAAGCAATGGATGCATGCAGTGCATTTTATTTCTCCTGGACACCCTCTGTGCTCAGTCACATTCCCCTCTTCCCACAATGACTTACTGACTGCGACATCAAGTCACTGAGGTTCACACAGCACAATAATGGTTTTTCAGTAAGGGGTTACTCTGATCCAAATGCCACACTGCCATTATTATATACACTCTCTGGGAAGTTTGAAAATGTGGCATGATTATTTAACGTGATAAAAACTAAGTAAACCCTCAAATACCCTAGTCCCTAACACCACTCCTCCTGAGTGGTGTTAATGTCCACACCTTCAAGAACATCAGTCATGTCCCTGTGATGCAGTGACTGGAAGGGCCATGTGTTTATGGATCTTACCTCCAGTGAAATCTGGATCTGGCTCCATGCTGATGTGGTAAATACTGAAATTGTTGATGGATGATAACCATTTCTAATGCTACCTTCCTGCTACATGCATTTAGGACCCTCCTATGACCTACAATCAGGAGAATTTCTCTGTAGAAGAAAACACCAGAGAAAAACTGTCCTTGGATATCAGTGGAAGAACACTCATGATGTGCCTTTTATAACAAATATGGCAGCAAACCTCAAGGGAGTCAGCCCTTATGGTCATGCTACACTACAATACTAATCCACCCAGGGAGTGGTAATACACTACCGTGGACTGGGCCATTGCCAACAACAGAAATTTATTTCTCATAGACCTCTTGGTGGGAAACCCTAGAATAGATGCAGGCAGATTTGATGTCTAGTAAGAACCCGCTTACTAGTTGTCTATTTTCTCACTGTTATAACAGAGAGTGAATTGGAAAAGGGAGCCTCTGGATTTCTCTGTTAAAAGGTCCAAATACTGTTCATGAGAGCTCCACCTGAGGACCACCACTTGTCCCAAGGCCCCACCTCCAAATATCACCACATGGGCCTTTGATTTTAATATGTGAGTTTTTGAGTGACACAATCACAATCTCACAACAACAAAAAATGAATCAAATCATGATACCATCCAGATAGAAAGCTACACCAGTGGTGGTCCCAAAACGGAGGATGCCCATAATTCTGTGGAAGGTTCTCACCTTTGAGAGCAGAAAGGGGAGCTAAGTCCTTCAAAACAAGCTAACATCCTTGTAGAGTGGACAGGTTCTATGCTAGAATTGGAACTGAGATGTCATGTAATGCATTATTATTTTCATTATTGCTTATATATAAACATTATCCTCATGTTCTAGGGACTGAAATAATTTTCTATCCCTAATGGTTGGTAGCTCTGTGTTCTCACTCATGTTTCCTAGGTGCTCAGTGAAATAAGGAGCAAGACTAGTGATTGATGCTGACATGTCAAGGTTCACCCCTCTCTCTTCCTGTGCACAGTTGGGAAATCTGAAATGAAAGTGGTGTGTGTGTGTGTGTGTGTGTGTGTGTGTGTGTGTGTAGTTTTCATTTATTTATTTTGAGAAAGAGGGGAAGGCAGGGGAAAAGAGAGGGAGAGAAACATCAATGTGTGGTTGTATCTCACATAGCCCCCACTGGAAACTTGGCCTGCAACCTAAGTATTTGCCCTGACTGGGAACAGAACTGGCAACAGTTTGATTCACAGCCCATGCTCAACCCACTGAGCTACACCAGCAGGGCAGTAGTCTTTATAGTTTGATGCAGGTGGTGATTGAAACCATACAAATCCCTGTCGTGAACAAGACACTACCCAACCTTGTCACAGATAAACAATTAGAACCTGAGCCAGACTCCTTACCTGGTGTGATCCAACCATCCCTGAGCTACTGAAAGGTCTGCCCTGCTCTCAACAGACTCCTCAATGAAGTGACAAACTTATTCATAGTCCCTCTGTGTGGGAGACACCCTTCTTATCCATACCAAGGAATAGTGGGTTTTCCCCCTACTTCCACATGATGTCAACTGCCATTGGTTTCATTGACATGGACTCAAAACCATAATCGTTCCAATCAAAGTTTTTGTCCTTGGTGTTGGGTTCATACACATTTGGTGCCCAATGTCCAGCATGCATGTGTCCTCTTGCTGACCAGCATGGACTCTGAGAGATTGCTGCACTCCTGGGCCAAATAAAGCTTTCTGTTGGATTCAGCTGAAGTGGTTCAGAAGGTTGGGTGATTCATTAGAATAGGAGTAAGCAAATGCAGTTGACTCTATGACTTTGATCATATGAGAATGGTTTCCTCTGATGACATCAAGCCTCTGTAATTCAGACACTGAAGGGGTCAGCATAGAAGCATGACCAGAGGGAAGCTCCCAGACTGAAACTGCTTTGTGGAAAGTTAACCCAACACCTGCTAGAAAACAAACCCTTAAATCTGCATCTGCATCTGCTCCCAGGTTGCTCCCAGTGATCATTGTGACCTGAGCATCCCCTGGTGCCCTGAGCATTCCCTACAGCCCAGCCATTTTTTCTCCTACAGGGAGTTTTATGCCTGGGCTCACACTGACTTACTCTCACTGTGTCTCCTGCACAGTAATACATGGCTGTGTCCTCGGCTCTCAGGTTGTTCATTTGCAGGCAGAGCTCATTCTTGGAGTTGTCTCTGGAGATGGTGAATCGACCCCTCACAGAGTTGGCATAGTATGTGCTACCAGCACTATTAATGTGTGAGACCCACTCCAGCCCCTTCCCTGGAGCCTGGCGGACCCAGTTCATCCAGTTGCTACTGACAGTGAATCCAGAAGCTGCACAAGAGAGTCTCAGAGACCCCCCAGGCTTCACTAAGCCTCCTCCGGATTCCACCAGCTGCAGTTCACATTGGACACCTGCAAACACAAACATCTCATATCAGGAAACTGTCACACATTCAGTATTTCTCTCAGGCATATCCACTCTCATACTCAGTGTCTGTTGTTCTCTACAAATTACCTCTTAAAATTGCAACAAGAAAAACCCAGTTGATCCCAATTTCCATAGTCAATGGCCTATGTTCTGTCCTGAGCAGAGGCAGGGGACACCTGGAAATCCCTGGCTGGGCTCCTGTCCTAGAGCCACAGGCTTGGGGCTGCACTGCTTTTCATGAGCAGAGGGACCCTATTTGCATGCACTTCTGGAGTTGAGACATGCAGAGAGTTCTGTGACTCTCTAAAGGAGTCCATGTCCCATGAAGTGTGCTCATGACAGTATTTAAATAACTACACAGAGAATCCTGAGGAGGGGTGTGTCATTTCCATAAAACCTCCTCTGTTGACAATGAGTCAAGCATCTGGGTCTCTTCCCTCCCCACTGGCCCCACTGCTCCCCTGATCCTAATCTAGGGCAGGGTGGGGCACACTCTTGAGGTTGTAGCACCCCCCCCCCTTACTGTAATGAGAGCATGGCTGAGTATCTGTATCTAGGGTTACCTACTCTCCAGGGCTGTACACACCTGTAGAATCAGAGTCCTCACACAAGTGGAGAAGCTTGTTTATCACCTGTGATGTGGCCCTAGATCAGCTAAAGCGAGCCAGGTTAACCTAGAACTGTCACATACAACTGCTACTAAAGTCTGTGTTCAGCCCAGGGCCACTATAGTGAATCTGCACTGTCCCTATTCTGCCCCTTCTGCTATAGGGTGCCTGAGACAATCTCAAGCCCTTATGTAAATGAACTTCACAGTGTGAGGCTAAAAGGTCAGATGAGTGCGTCACTGCTGCAGGTGGCCCTGTGGTCAGACTTGGCCTCCATGATTGTGTGTCTCATGCACACTCTGAATCCCCTAAGACTACCCCACACTTTGTAGAGTAGTTTTCTCCATGCACCTATTGGTTAGGAAGCAGAGTCCCAGGACATGCAGGGGCTGTGGGTCTTGATCACCTGGCCTCCATCAGGTGTTAGAATCATGCAGGTTTTCTCCCTCTTGTTGAAGGTAATTACAGAGAGGAATAGACTCTGCCCCATCCAGACTGACCCCTTTCTGTTCCTGCTGGGAGCTGCAACCATGTCCCCAGAGGCTAATAAGCTGCAATCTTATCCCCAAAGAGGAAAAATAAAAATCTACAATTTTACAGACCTTCTCTCTTCTACAACTGCTGTACAGGTGCTGACACAACAGAACAAAACAAAACCAAAAACAATGGAACAGAAAATCCTAACAATATTATAAAAAATGACAGCAATAAAATAATATGAAAATAAAAAAGACAAAAATTCAAGCAAGTAGATGGATAAAAGACAAGAAACAAAAAGAAGTGCAGAAGTAAAAAAAATGAGTAGAAAAGAGAATATGAAAGGGAAGAAGGAAGGGAAAGTAAAGAAAATACATATAGAAAGCTGAAAATTAAGAGTAGAACTACAAAAATGGAAATACTAATAAGAAATTGGGAAGCCAAAGAACGTATATGCATGACCCTTGGGCATGAACTAGGATGGCTGTTTGCTGGAGGGAAGGGGAGTACCAGGCTGATGAGGGCAAGGGTGAAAAATTTGGACAACTGTAATAGTGTTATCAACAAAATACACTTTTAAAGAAAAAAGTGAAAAAAAACAGAGTAAGACAAGGAAAGATAGTATAAGAGATATGAAAGAAAAAGAGGAAAAACAAAAATAAGTGACAAAAGAAAAATAAAGAGATGTTAAAGCATTACTAAAGACAAACATGGGGATCCTCCACACAGATTGATGTGCCTGCTGTGATCACCCTGAATAAGTTGTTTGTGAATTCCACTGGACCTTGCTCCACTGTTGTCTGAAGCTGCCACTTGTTTCACCCTCAGCCTCCTGACAGATTCTCTGTCACAAGCCAATTTCAGATGCTGTCCTCACCCTGCCTTCCGCAAGCTTCCAGGGCAGGGCTTCTAGTAGACCAATGGAGGAGGCCTCCCTATCCTAGAACTTAGGTCTGCCTCTGTCCTGCCTTTTGAGTGCCCCCAGCCTGAACACCTCTCCTTCCCAGTCAGAAGTGTTCAGTGGGGTTATCCAGTGTGGGCAGTGGTGATTTAAACAGTCTTGGGGGTGGTTCTCTAGTAGAGTGGCACTTTCTCTCCAACCAGTTGCTGCAGGGGATAAACTCAATAGAGAGCCAGGTTCTTCTTTCTGATAATGCAACTGTACAGCCCACAACATGCCCAACTGACTCTAGGACAGAAACCCTCCTGGGAGACTGGTTCAGTAAAAAACAGCTCTCTGTGGCCCGCCAGTGGGATCCAAAAAAATGAAAGAAAGAAAGAAAGAAAGAAAGAAAGAAAGAAAGAAAGAAAGGAAGGAAGGAAGGAAGGAAGGAAGGAAGGAAGGAAGGAAGGAAGGAAGGAAGGAAGGAAGGAAGGAAGGAAGAAGGAAAGGGAGGAAGGAAGGAAGGAAGGAAGGAAGGAAGGAAGGAAGGAAGGAAGGAAGGAAGAAGGAAAGAAAGGAAGAAAGAAAGAAAGGAAGAAAGAAATAGAAAATCAGACCCACATGCCATACAAACTCCCCAGCTCCTCCAGGACTCCAACAGGCCAAATGATGCCTCCTACCATCTATCAATCAGAGCTGTGCCAAATATCCATCCCAGGCTTTTACCACTTCACTTCGGAAGACCACAGGACTGGGGTGGACCTTGTGATCCAACATGTGGGGGGTGGGGAACGCCCCATGATTAGGAGGTGTGCAACACAGGTCCTCTTCCTCAAACCACAAGGTCTAGACTCCCTGCGGTTCTCTACTCACAGTCTTTCCAGAAAGTAGAGGACCCCGAAAAGTCACTACTGAGTGTACAGAGCAAACCCTTCCTCCAGCCTGGAACTGCCTCGTGACCCTTCCAGCAGTCATGGACCCTGGTGTTGTAACAATGGGGTCACTCCATGTCTGGGACACTGAACTATGAGTCCTCCAGGAGGACTGAATCCCCACAGGTTCCAAATCCAACTGTTACATGGGTTCCTTTCTCCATCTATGTTGCTGTGTTGTGGAGATTTCTATATGGCTGAGACCCCACATTTTCAGTAGGAGGGAGCTCCCTGCAGCCATATCTTTTGGCCTTTCCAGTCTCTGCATCTTCATGGAGGGCAGTGTCACCCTCCTTGTCTCCACCCATCTTCTTCAGTGCCCTTGTTTATAAAGTTTCAGACCAGCTACACTTTGATTGGTTTTCCAAGTTGATTTTTCTGTAAGTTCTGTCTGGGCTGGGGAAAGTGGATGGAGCAACTCACTACTCTGCAGGACCTTGGAGCCTGTTCAAGCTTTCTTGTCAGGTAATGTTTCTATAACATGAAACCCAATGTTTTAACAAAGTTGTGGTTTCCCTTCCTTTCAAGTTCCCCCAATACTGGGAGAGTGAGGGTGGGGTTGGGAAGGTGAGTGAGGGTTAATGCACAAGTCATCTGCGCTCACTGTGGGAGCAAGAGTGTGTTCACAGCAGTGTTGACCCTGCGTGTCAGTCCCACTGGAATTCCCCAGGGACACTGGGCCTTGCATGATGCACAGTAGACCAGGAGAGACAATGACTCCCATTAACAGGACAGGCTCCAGGGAGCTGGTGGGGACACACAGGGCACAGATGACAGCACTGGTGAGAGGTCCCTTTCCTGTGGTCCCTGAGATTCCTCAATCCACTTGGTTCCCATTATTACATGAAATAACTTGTAGAATCTGGGTATTTCTAGATAATTACAGTGATTTGTTTATGCCTTCACAGTGGCCATCTTGAACTCCACAGTTTGCAGGAATTTCTTTTCACTTTTTGCATTAAATAAGAGGATACCCTATTTTGCAGCCTTGTGTTGAAACCATGGGTCTTCTTTGATGGGGCCTCTTGTGTTGTGTTTTTTGAAAAAAAAATGTGACTAAGAGGCAATGTGATTATACTACTGTGCATCCCTGTATTCTCAGGATCAGTGGAGAGGCTGATGGAGGCCTGCAAATGGGCTGAGAATGACACGTCAACCATGAATACACCTCACGGCCCTCTTGCAGTGCAGCCCATAGGCAAAGCCTATGCTCTGGGCTCAACCCATGTTTCAGAATCTTGGAAAGAGTAACATGGTCCTACATTTGGTTTCACACTCAATTCATAAAAAAGAAGGAATTGCTTTCATTATAAACAGATAATCAAAGGGAACATGTGGCTTCACAAATGCATCTTTTGAGATTATGCAGTTGGAGTGATGATACACATAAGTCATAAAGCTACACCCTGCAATTTGAAACCCCCTTATGTGCACACACATACACATGGACTCACACCCAGTTCAGTCGCATGTGCACTTTAGCTCCTGCTGAGTCCAAGGAATGCAGGAGGGTCATATGCCACAGTGCAAAAGAAATCTATACACATACTAAATACTTCTTCAAAAGAAAACCTTCATTTAATTATTGAAATGAAATGGAACCCCACTGTAAGTTCATGTCATGTGGGAACAGTGATTATTTTACTTCTTCCTTTCTGATTTGTAGGCATTTTATTCAATTTTCCACCAAAGTACTCCTGCTGGGAATTCCGTGCTGTGCTGAATATTAGTGGTGACAGTGAGTGTCTTTGTCTTGCTCCCGATCTTAGAGAAAATGTTTCCATCATTTTCACCCCTAATAATGATGTTACCTGTAGACTTTTATACATGGCCTTTATTATATGAAGCAGTTTTCCTTCTGTCTTTAGTGTGTTGAGTGTTATTCTTCCCTGGAATGTGTGTTATGTTTTGTCAATTTTTGCCTGTGTTTATTGACCACATGTTGTGGAAAGGATCGTATCAACAACACAATATGCGTGGTTCACTGGATATCCACGTGAAGAGAATAAAGCAAAACCTTATCATATAACATGTAGAAAAAATAAACTCACAATGGGTTAAAGATATTAATGTGGGCACAATTCTATACAAACCCTAAAACAAAACATAGAAGAAAACTGGATGGGTTTGTATTTGTCAATAATTTATTGAATATGACATAAAACACAATAAACAAGAATAAATAGGGACAAATTGACTTACATTAAACTCATCATCATATGTGCATGGGAAT